CTTCGATAGATGTCCATACGAATTTTTAATAATTTTTCGCATCATAATGAATCTAGGATGGCCCAACCGATCATGCCACAATATAAAAGGATTAGTAAACTTCGGTTTACTATGATATTTTTTTCCATCATTTGAATAATTGTGTAATAAATTCCAAAAGAGAAAGTAGGTAATTTCTCCAATACATATTTTCTACATGATGTAATTTTTATAATATATAAGTACTCAATATTCTCAAAATTTATTGTATCAATATGATATCCATTCAAACAAATATCTTTAAAACTCAATAAATTTATGTGGGACTTAGGACGAGAATAGGACATCATCTATAATCAAATTTATCCCTCTAGGTAGTAATATATTTGCTCTTCCAGAGCCATCAATTAAATTAACACTACTAGATATAGTGTTAACATTAGTTTTGCCCATCATTAAATTGGAGAAATACCTTTTATTTTTAAGTATGGAATGTGTTGTTGCACTATCAATGAGGCATAGATTCTCCTCCATGATGTTTAAACCAATTGTAAACTTGGTAATATCTATATTCTTCATAAACACAAAAACAAACAAATAAATAAAAATTGTAACTACTATGATGAAATTATAAAAATAAAACATAAAACTTCTTTATTTATCAATAGAAACAAAATGTCAACGATTATCATTAACCTAATGATTTTTTATTTCAGAATCTTCAAAGAAATCAACAACATCTAAATGTGTCAAGTTACTAAAACCTTCAAAATGAATATTGTCACAATCATTATTTTGATATATAAAATTTGCCTCTATATCACTTTCTTTCTTTTTCAACGAGGCTTGATAAAGCTCAACTAGGTTCTTTGGCATACAACAAGTATACGATCAATGTCCCCGTATAATACATCTATAACATTCATTTTTGGAGTGCTAACTTGATCCACCTTTATTCTTTTCTTGTTTATTTTCATAATTTATCCACTTTCGGGGTGAGATGTATTATTATTACCACTATGATTATAACAATAATTATTCGACCATGACTATTGCCACGACCATGTCCATGGCTACGGTCACAACCACGTCCACGTCCAAAATTATTATAAGATGTCACATTCACTTAAGGGAATGGAGTAAACCTAGTTGGGCGGGATTCATGATTTTTCATCAATAACTTGTTATTTTATTCAGCCACAAGTAAGCATGAAATCAATTCGAGTATTTCTTAAAACCTTTTTCTCGATATTGTTCTTTGCGTGAGCATATTCGAGGCATGAAAAGTAGAGATGTTTTCTCTAACATATATGAATTAATAATATTTTCTCCATGTAATCTTAGTTGGGAATTGATTCTAAATACTATAGAATTATACTCACTTACTATTTTGAAATCTTGTAACCTTAAGTGCATCCAATCATAACAAGATTTTGGAAGAATTACTCGTCTTTTGGTGGTTGTATCTTTCCTCTAAATTTTTCCACGAGTTCAAATGGATCTTTCACTCGTTAAATATTCGGTTTTCAAATCCTCATGGAGACGATGACGAAGGAAGATCATTGCCCTAGACACGGTTTGCAAGGATTCTTGATTATCATCCATGATTGTTTGTCTAAGGCTATTAGCATTTAAATGTATCTCGGCATCAAGCACCTATGATAAATAATTCTTGCTCGAAATGTCAAAGGCCACAAAATCAAGCTTTGTGAGGTTTGACATGATAAGAATTCTATAATACAAGATATAATAATGATGTTAGAAAATAAAAAAAAACATAATAATAATATTCAAACTTCTCAAAACAACATACATTAGATTATTAGAATATATATTAGATTATTCAAGTTTTTCAAATATATATTATATGTACCATTAGATTTAAAGTTGTAGCGTCCTTAACCTAATTCCTTACAAAAACTTCGTATAACTTAACCATTTTAGTTCTAGAAAACTCAATTAATCACAAAATATCACTTAGGATCGTTAAAACCTCATATTAGAAAGATTAGATTTTTTTTTTATTATTCAACTAATCAACAACATTCTTTCCACTTATAACCCTTGGATATTCAATCAAAACCACTTTTTCTTTGCTCATAAACACGTCTCAAAACACCTCGAGGAGTTCATATTTACATAGTTACATATACAATTCAAAGCTCTCCTAGGATGCATATGCTCGGCATAATGAGAGAGAGGAGAGGGAGATCGCCGACCGAACTCGTTACTTATGTCGTGAAATGAGCGACAAAACAAGCTCTAAGCTTCTTAACTTCTTGTACCTAAAAAGTAATTGCATTTTTAATGAGATGCTACTCAATGAGAGAACAATAATTCATTGAAACCATAACATGCAATCACATCATCCGAGTATCATCACATATAAACAATACATGGAGTTCATATGACTCTAAGATTACATGCTTTCTTTTTCTTATCGGTTATGACTTGGACATGTCAAGTTCCGCTCCGGGTACTTGTAACTTGTAAACTTGTACACATGTATTGCTTGGCCGGCTTTTATAACTTATAGTTGACCCATTGGGTCCTTGTAAACTTGTATTTGCGAAACTTGGACAAGCCGGTCATAACCTTAACCTCTTAGCCTTGCATATATCATGAATGTTTCACATATAGCATATACAACATCCATGGCTTACATCGGGCACATATCCATTATAACATCGATAAACATAACGTTTGCATCAACTAGCAAACGGCACATCATTCACATCATGATATCAATATCAATACATATAATATTGTTATAACATCAATAAACACAACGTTTGGTCAACTAGCAAACGACACATCATTCATATCATAGTATCAATATCAATAAATATAATATTAGCACTCAATAGCAATAACACATCATGGCACAACTATTATTATTCAACTCACAAAAATGACGTCTTCGCCGTTTATCAATGCATCGTGTCTCGCGTCTCACGCTCCTCGGCGTCTATAAACACATACACATATACTTTTATAAGTCATTTTATCATGATCAAACTTCTAAATATGCTCAAGGTACAAAATATGACTTTAGGGTTAACTTATTCCTTTATGGGTACTTGACCCCTTTTCACTCTTTCTACCACAAATCCCAAAATACATATTCAAATGATGCAATTATAGTTTCACATGAAACTAGACTCATAGGGCTCTAACATATCCAAAAATCAAGTCTAGGTACGAAATACACAACTCATGATGATTTTCTAAAAATCGAGTTGCTTGCCATTTGTTTATGGGTACTTGACCTCTTGACGAGTTCACACTCTTGTACTATAAATCCTAAAATACAGGGTAAAATGACAAAATTCTAGTTGTACATGAAACTAGACTCAAAGGGGTCTAACATATCCAAAAATCAGCCCAATATACAATATACATGATTTATTCTAGATTTTTAAACTCTAACTAGCTTCCAAGCACCCTTGTTACCAAGCGGTCCCCAAACAAACAACAATAAATCTAGATTGGGACATGATCAAGACCTAATTCTTTTTTTAAAAAGAACTAGACATATCAATATAAAACATAGCCAAAAATCAGATCGAAATACTCAACACCCAAAGAATACCATATTTTTAAAGTTTGCACACTAATCTGCCAGCATCGGATCACCCAAAACAACATGTGTTCAAACCATCATAACCCGAAATATAAATCACTAAATACAAAACCCTTTCACATAGAGCTAGATAAGATGCAAACCAACAATTTTTATTCTTACAACTTGTTCCAGATCTGACCCTAAAGTCTCGAAATCAAGAGTGCAAAACAGAGCTGGGGATGAACTTACCTAGATTTCTAGCTTGATCATCCGAATTTGACAAAGAAATGGGATTTTTCTCTCTTTCTCTCTCTCAAAACGGGAAACCAGATGGGATAAGAAGAGATAATGATCAGGTAAGTAATCTTGATAAGGTTGTGAAGATATTTTGGCAAAGTTCGTTTTGGTCCCTTAAGTTTTAGCTTGTTTTTATTCTAGTCCCCCAACTTAGATTACATTCAATTAAGTCCCTCATTCTTCCTATTATTCCAAATACTTACAATTGAGCCCCTATTTCTTCCTATTATTTCAAATACTTATTATCCAATACCCCACTAACATGTCATATGCAGGTATAATTATATGCGTGTAATTTCTAAGTATGCGTGTATGCATGAACGAGTATATGTTTTTGGGACGGAGTTATTACAAAAGTAAAAGATAGATTAGATATATACCTCTTAATAACTTAGATGATTTGCGTCGTTTGGCAAAACAATCGTGCTGATAATGTGTTATAAAAAAATAAAAATAATAGTAGAATTGAAGAAAAAGATGACAAGAAAAAAAATTCACTATTAAATGAATACAAGTGATAAGAACCTCAAATTATTCTCTTAATCTTTCTAAGAACTTGTACATCAACTAATGAATAATAAAACCTATTTATAAGCTTTACAATTGAGATAAGAATTGGAAGAGAGTATGAATAATTAAAAGTACATTAATTACATCATCTTTTTAATTTCTCAAATTAAATGATGAATTGAATCATATTAAGAATCATGAATAATGAGGATATAAAAAGTAAATAGACATTTATATAAACATTTATTATTTCATAACATTTCTAAAATAATAACGGAAATAAACATTTATTGTGTGAGCCTACTTCTTACATAGTTTAAGACACTGGTCCACACGTATTCGTCGAGGCAGATACCTAAAAAACAATGTGATTCTCATGCCATAAAAAATATCCAATAGATTAAGACGGATGACATGGCCCATGGATAACATGTCCCCGTGTTCTCCACCGCCAATATATGAAACCACAACACAATACAACGGCAACACACGCCGTTTTCTCTGCTTCTCTTTTACTTCCTTTCTGGGTCTCTTACTTCTTCTAACAAACTTGTTTTTCCGAAAAGAAAAAGAAAAATTTTCAAACTACCATCAAAACTAGACGCAAAAGTGAAGTTCAGAACTTAGATAAAGAAGAGATTAATTAACCATGTCATCCGTGGTGAAGGTAGCTTCTCAAGAGAACCATGAGGAGAGCAACAATGAACGGCTAGATTTAATTCACCATATGGATCCAATAGCCACAGATATGTTACTCCCTAATGAGACTTTTCTCGAAGCTGCCATTTCTCTCAAGGACCAGGTATGTAGTTTCCTTCTTCACAATACAGCTGGACCTTCAAGTCCACCGCTACCTCTTTCTTTGAGTTCGTAAGTCAAGACTTGCGGGGAAAAAAATCCTTGAAGACAGATAAGATTCAAGCAGAGATAAAAACATTGGTCTAATAATTTTTCCTGCAAAATAAATAAATAATAAAAGTCTCACTCCATTGATCGGCTTGTCCTCAGAGTTTTACCATCTTTTTCACCAAACGACAAGAAAAATTGTTTGAGAATATCATAATAATAAAGAAAATGTGTTTAGTATAACTATGAGGCAAAAGAAATTTTTTTCTTCAACGGAATTAAAAATGTAAACATTTAATGTTCTTTCAATTCTATGTGCAAAATATTTAAAAGAAATTTTTACTACGCATCATTATCATGGAAAATATCAAATATAATAATAAAAATTTCCTAAAAAAGGAATTATATATATAGAAAAATATATACTGTGTCTCGTGAAGCAAGTTAATTAATTGGGTTAGCGAAAGCAGATGAATTATTGTGTTGTACCATGTAGGTAGTTGAGGTGACGAGGAAGAGAGATGGTAATATGGGTACGGGTATCGACCCGACGGTGTATACGGGTTTGCTTGGGACAGCTTTCACTTGCTTGCGGTCGTACGAGGTAACCGGTAATGAGCAGGACCTGCTATCGTGCTCCGAGATTGTTGACAAGTGTTCCGTTTCCGCATGTGCCTCCTCCAGGTAAATCATAGGCTGTGACTGGGATTTTTTATTTTATTTATTAAAAACAAATTGACTGAGATATTCCATTATTTGTACTTCATCATGCCCACGCCCGCATGAATTACTGTACTTGTATGAAGATGATAAGGTTATATCTTAATAAATAAATAAATGATTTTCTAAAGTAAGGTAGGAATTCCAACCTGACAAAATAAAAATTATCGTAGATTCTCTCATCTTGGCATAGATAATTTATATTCAATGGATTGAAGAGATAGACATAATTTTGATGCCCAAACTAAAAAACAAAAGAGCAATAAATAATTTTTCTTTTTCGTTTTCTTTTTATGGTTAGGTATTAATTTTGGCACATTGAGAATGAATCACTCCCATGTCTAAGTTTTTATCCTTATCGTACTTTGCAGTAAAAAATGTGGGTAAAAGGGTGCATGACGCCCTAGTAAGTTTTGATTGTTTGTTGGTGTAGGTGTATGTTATTACCATTGATGTAGAAATATCTTGCAAATATTTTGGTGGTCGTTAGGTTTTCTAAATTTTTGCATAAAAGTAGACAAAGTTTCAGATTTTTTAGCTGTAAAGCGACACTTTTAAGGATTTAGATTATCTGTCATTTTAGTGACCATTCATGTGGAAACACGTTCAATAATTGCTGTGGTCCAATTTGTTCAGTAAAAACCATTTAATTTCAACAACTTTTCTGTCTCTAAATTAGCAAAATTGTTTTCAGACAGATGCAACCAATTATGGATTTTTCAATGTAAAGTTAATCTTTTTTCCCTGTCTTTGATGAGTAACGTACGGTTGAAATGGTGGATGAATAGGAGCATAACATTCTTATGTGGAAGAGGAGGATTATATGCACTTGGAGCCGTGGCCGCAAACTACAAGGGGGACCATCAAAGACGTGACTTCTTTTTGAATCTCTTCCTTGAGGTACGCTCAATTTTCATTGCCGCCAATATACTCGCTAAAAATCCTTTCCTTATTAGAAGAAAACAAAATTTAAGAGTGTAAATATGGAATATCCTTTAGGGACATGAAAGATACTTGGTCCATGTCCTTCGTAAAATCCAATTATATGAGACCTAATCATAGAGCAAATAGTTCGTCAACACCTACTGCTAATAAATGATGCCATCACTGGTTGTTGGCCAGCCTTTAATTTGTCCGCATGAAGTGCTTGTTACTTGGCTTTCGATGCTAAAATTAGCTCATAATGAGTTACAGTAGCTGGTTGGAAGTTGATGCCTTTAGCAACTTTGCTGGATGCTAACAGTTGTTTTCCTGATGTGGTCCAATACCTTACTTCTTGACTATGGTAGGTATTGATTCCTCCTCTTTTGGGATGTTGTCCAGTAGTCTTGTGGGAACTTCTTAGCGTGAATGCTGAGTCCATTGCAATATGCAATTAAACAACTTGTCTTATGTGCAAAGTGTCTTTATCAATGGCAAGTTGCCTTATTTCCACATTTCCAAAATGATAGATGCCTCCATTGTTTGATACTAGCACATTATTATGACTCATTCTATGATACAAGCTTTTAGCCAGCGTCACCGTAGCTGGTGGGGACGCCTATGAGTAATGAGCCATTAATTTCCGCTTCGGTGTTACAATCTGATAAGATACCAGCCGTTGGTCTTGGTCCGCTCGTTGAATTATTAGCTAGGCCGCCTCTCCCTCCGGAAAATCAAGAGTTAGATGCACCGTCCCTTAAATCATGAATATCTGCACTTTGTCTGGATTTCAAGGAACACTTAGTAGAATAGCTTCGATTTCACTGGAATATAGTATCGTAAATATTGAACATTTGATAATGATGTTGTAGTATTCTTTCTGATAAACTTCTCTTTCCAGCCTTTAATTTGGAAGCTGTAGTAGTTGCAAACAAAATAATTCCATAAATGGAACATGTTCTGCTGTTTCATGAGCTGCTACGATTCGCCAGGACTGTTCACTGTTGCTCTTATTCTAGAACCAAGAAGTACAGTATCTTTTGGGATCAATGGTGGGCCACTAGGCCTTACCTTTTTAAAAAACACCAAGTTAAAAAATGATGAGTTAGAAAATGTTGATGATTTTTCACCCAACCGAATCTGCTTAAACTTGTAGAAAAGACTTCTCTAATTTCTAAGGGCTCTCCTTCATATGATATCGTATTTGATTATGGTTCATATATTAACTGTGATGGTTATCGTCAACTGACTCAATCAATGGAAAACAAAAATCTTATTGTTTGTTTGATTGATTTATATAGGTTGCACAAGAGAGAGCCCTCCCCATTGGACCTGAGGAAGGTGGTTTTGGCATGTCATACGAGCTTCTGTATGGGAGAGCTGGGTTTTTATGGGCTGCTTTGTTCATAAACAAGCATCTTGGTGAAGGGACACTGCCTAGTGATCTTCTGATGCCTGTTGTTGATGCTGTTTTAGCTGGGGGCAGGGCAGGGGCATCTGATAATGCAGCTTGCCCACTGATGTACAGATGGCATGGAACAAGGTACTGGGGTGCAGCCAATGGCCTTGCTGGAGTCTTGCAAGTGCTACTTCACTTTCCTCTCTCCAAAGAGGATGTCGAGGATGTTAAGGCAACTTTAAGGTACATGATGAGCAACCGTTTCCCTCGTAGCGGGAATTACCCTTCAAGCGAAGGAAACCCAAGGGACAAATTGGTGCAGTGGTCTCATGGTGCAACTGGCATGGCCATCACCCTCTGCAAGGCATCTGAGGTAGGCAGTTCATACTCAGTCAACTTTGTTTTGATGGTGTTTGTACATTATGGATCCATCTATTGTAATAACTTTACAAAATTGTATCCACTTACTCGTGCTCAACTCAACTCCTTTTATCACTATTACACTGGTTTGAATTCAAAATTGCTTAGCAAAGTTGCAAAATGAGTTGCTGACTTGAATTGGTACTTTGCTTAAGCCTAAAAGGTTATTTATGTGGCAAACCATGCACTTAGTAATTGAATTTGAAAGCACGTAATAGTTAGAATACAGTTGTATGATATTCTGATAGTTATAAGATAATAAGACCTGAAAATCTTAACATGGTTTGATGTATCATGAAACCATTTACCTATTAAAATGAGAAACATTTTCAATCCAATGTTTGAAACTAATAGTTTTATCGGCCAAACATTGAGGCTGAGTCGTCAGTGCTAACTACTACCTTTTTTTTGTTTCGGCAGGTGTTTCCAAATGCTAGGGAGTTCCGAGATGCTGCGATAGAAGCAGGGGAAGTTGTTTGGAAGAATGGGTTAGTGAAGAAGGTAGGCCTTGCTGATGGGCTGGCAGGAAACGCTTACGCCTTTCTTTCCCTTTATCGTCTTACTGGAGAGATCATATATGAGGAGAGAGCTAAGGCATTTGCAAGCTTCTTGTATCATAATGCTATTGAACTTGTGAACATCGGGCATGCTCGTGGAGCTGATCATGCATATTCTCTTTTTCAAGGACTAGCTGGGACTGCTTGCCTTTGGTTTGACCTTCTCAAACCTGAAAGTTCCAGGTTCCCAGGTTATGAACTTTAAGTGAAGCAGTTCAGCTGAAATCTACATTATGAGTACGCAATTTGAGCCTAACATGTATATAAGAGTGTAGCTTTAGCACTCTTAACTCTAAACGTGGAAAGAAGTTGGGTATAGATATCTATCCAAGGTTTTATTTGCTAATGATTTGTTCCATTATTGGTTCTATGTTGGTTTCTTTGTGATGTGTTGCTTATTGCATCATATTTTTTAACATATTAAACATCCTCCCTACTAGGTTATACCGATAACTACCTGAAATCCAAGCCGGTGAGAAGAAACATTGAACGCTAAGACTCTGATAACTGTGTGATAACTTCATTGATATGTAATATAGACAGGATTAGACATGACAACAACATTGTCTAATCTTGGTTTCTTTTGGTAGGCCATTCACATCGGTCTTTCTTTTTATTCACTTCAAAACTATTTCCCTTCTGCATTTGCTAGTCGACTTAATGTCAAAGTGGAATGATTTGGTGGCATTTGCCAATGCCATCTTCACCCCATCGATGCCTGATAGGAGTCGTTTGTGTTAGATCATGAGCTTGGAACGCATGGTGGCATCCTATTGGAACAGTTGTTGTAGGTTCCGCTGTAGAATTCCAATAGGGAAGTAGAACTGGATCTAAATGCTTCTATTGATTGATTTTGTCCAACCCTTTTGAGAATATTGTTTCGCCTTTTGGGTCTCAAATCTAATCAAACTTCCCAATCGATAATTGAAGTTTCTTGTCTTATGGGTCACATATCCATGAGTTGCCAGTTAAGATGTGAAAAGATATACGCACATCATATATCACATCATTTGCAACACTGAATGGACATTTTTGGTGCTAGTGGCAATAAGCCAAACCATAATTAGCTTCTGTGAGATGGATTAATTGTATCTGCTAGCTGGGACAAGACGTTAGCGAGGAGTTCAAGAAGCTAGAGAACATGCTCTTTAATGAAGTGTAGGCTTTACCTAATCATAGAGCTAAATCCAAAGGGTCATCAATCAAAGCATGATCTGACATGCACATCAAACCCTACTTTTCCCAAGTCAAAGTGAAGCCGTGGAGCTTGGAGAAAGATCATATTGACAGGAGGTGCCCTGGAGTGGCCAAATTTTAAGAGGGTTTAACGATAGCTGCAAAGCACAAGTGTTTGATTGTTGAGGTAGATTGGCCCAAAAACTCAAAAGGGAGAAATCCTGGTGATAACTGGTGTTCCAAAGCCATCTTGGCCTATATATCAACGTAGTATTACCTTTTAATTTCAAGTATTCTTGATTCAGCCATACAACTCGCAACTGGGCGTTCCCCCCCCCCCACCCCCTTCCTTATTCCTTCCCATTTTACTGGTTTCAGTCTACATTAAATTATAACTTAATCCCAATAGTTTAATAAAACTAACTATTCAATCCTCGTAGTTCTAAAACTCTATTTTTAATCTCTATACTTCTAAAGTTATTTATAATTTAGCCTTCTTTTTATTTTATTTTATGTTCTTTTCTAATTTATTTTTGTTTCTCTTTCTTGAAAAATATAATAAACAAAAGAGAATTAAGTGGTTCTAAAGCAGGCATTTTTGGAAGGGGAGAAAAAATACACCACTAAAATGAAGATGATCCCGCTAGTCCACACACTAGTTCATTATTTCTAGTACTAATAAAATTAATAAATAAATTTTGATAAAAGACAGCGGTTAGGGTATAATTAAATCTTTCTGGATTAGGTAAGGCTTCACTGGCAAAATCGAAATTAATTCACCAAAGTGGGTTCCAAAGACATGCTTATAAGAATTCATATGATAAAAAATTCCTCAAAAAGCAAGATTACTTGGGGATGATGACATTCAAAACTAGAAGCATAAGGAAAAGAAAAGGATGCTTATACGTAAATAGGAACACCCCACACATGACACAACTAATTAGCTCATGAATGATGTCATTCTTCCAACTTAACATTTCCTGCATCCACAATGCAATTAGGGCAGGTGCTTCGTGTTCAAATTCGTTCTTGTGTCTTATGCCTAAAGATGCAAATTAATGAGATCATAGATGCCACCTTTGTCAAATTTGTTCATTTTCTCTGCAAATGAAAATTTTCAATCCAATCTCGTGCCAAACACTGCCTTGGTTAACAAGGCAGAAATAAGATGATCCCAAGATGAATGTTCCGCAAATAATTAATAATTCGTCCTTCAAAATGCATGAGTTGTTAGTTCATGTATATATAATGATGGCTGGCTTCTGTAACGAAGAATAAAGGAATATTAATTATACGCAATTGCCTCGACTACACGGCAAATAAACTTTGGCTCAAAGTACAAGTTGGCTTGTTAAAGTATCTCGTTAACGGTTTCATGAATCTAAACTTATCCAAGTACAGGCTTACTGGATCAATGGGGGACAAAAAAAACAATGAAAATATATCTTAATCACGAGCGCGAGCGCACAAATATATGTAAGCTGTGCATTTGTATATTCATGCTAATTAACTGGCAGACAATGTGTTAATTTTAAAGCATCAACTAGTAGTAATTTTCTTTCTTGTAAGTAGTTTAATTATATTTTCAAATCAATAACCACCAAAACCAATTTAAGTCTATTAAATAAGTAATAGTTCCAGTGGCAAATACAGGAACAAATGTCCACGAGAGCCAAAATAAATATTTTTAAATTTATTATGGTTTACACAAACTTATATAATATACCAATATATATTTTAAAATTGTTTCAAAATACAATCACTCAAAATAAAGATTTTCGTTCTTTCAAGTCACGAAAATCATCTATAAGCGAATGTATACTAAAATTTTCAACGATTTCTTTTTCAATATATACTAATAAACAATTGGAAAGAAAGTCATCTTCCATCTTGTTATGAAGCTTAGTCTTAACTATGCATATAGCTGAAAATGATCTGTTTCGTGGCGATCGTAGAAACTTAAAAAGTAAGAATAAGTGTTATCACTCTATACACAAATGGATAACTTTCAAATTTTTTTATCTTTATCAACCATTGACACAAATAAGATATAGTTGACAATGTTTTGAAATTAAAAAGATTCCGTACATGATCAAAATGCTCAAATTGTATCCTTAATTACGAGCATTTATGAACGGCAAAATCTTAAGGGTAAAATTTCTACGCTAACTTGTAAAGGTCATCAATCCTAAATGATATGCATATCTCTATCTCTCTAGGATCTAAAGCCGAACTAAGAATGAGTAGCTTTATCATGTGATCCTTGAATCTATTATTCAATTCTTGCAATTGAGAATCTATCACGACATTGAATATGCCAACTTTGTAATGATGCTCAACTCGTAATTGCATCTTATTGATGAAGAGCCCTTTCTTTTCTTGTAACATAATGAGCACTCAAGTCCGGTATGGGTATGTTGATCGCTTCACAAAAAGATTTTGCTTTTGAAATTAATTCATCCAATCCTTCATCTCTTAATTTTTGAATGAGTAACTTAGTTAAAGAAACTAGATGCATTGCATTCAAAATATCTTGAGATTTTGCTCAACCGTAATTGCATTTTGTTGATGATGAGCTTTTTCTTTTCTTGCAACATAATGAGTACTCGGGTCCGGTATGTGTATGTTGATTGCTTCATAAAAAGATTTTACTTTTGAAATTAATTCATCCTATTCTTCATCTCTTAATTTTTGAATGAGTAAATTATTTGAAAAAACTAGATGCATTGTATTCAAAATATCCCGAGATTGAAGTTGTAAAGCTTAGCAAAGCAAACCGGATATCTCTAAAAATTTTCTCATGAGATGCATAACGAAAACAAATTCAAAAGAAGTTAATCCCTCATAAGTCGCATCTACATCTCCACGCCGAGTAGTTGTAGCTTCATCTTCAATGATAATTAGTAAAATTTCACAAGTTGTACTAAACATATTCATCAAGCTAGAAACAGATTTTAGATGAGAACTCCAACGAGTATCCTCGACCCTTTATGAACCACCAACTTGATTAAGCTCTTTCCCATTTTAAATTTCACCAATGGAAAGTAAATAGGTAATATTTACAGCATGAGCGACTTTCAATTGTTCATTACACTTCCATGAAGTGCCAACGATATTAATGATGGAGTTTAATTTGATGAAAAATGATGGATTGGGATAACTTCATTTGATGCGGCAACTAATGCCAACTACAAACAATGAGCCAAACAATGAACATAGTATGTAAAAGGGCATTCATTTGAAATTAGAGCTTGCAACCCATTCCATTCCCCTCGCATATTGCTTACACCATCATAATCTTGTCTCGTGATATTCGAACATCAAGACTATAATGAGAGATAACATAAAATATTCCTTCTTTCAATATTAATGCAACAATATCTTTTATATAAACAAGCCTAAAAAAGCACTCTCGCACATATCCATTTTTATCAACAATTCTCAATAAAATAACCATTTGCTCCTTTTTAGACTCATCTCAAGCTCCATCAATAATTATAAGATTTTGTATCACCAATTTCTTCACGGATAGCATTCTTGACTTTAGTTATCAAGACTTGTAAAAAATTTTTTCACTCTTGGTGATGTATATGAGGCATTTTATGGAGCTTTACTCAATACTTCTACTACCTTGTCGTTTTAAGATGCCATGAAACTTAATAGTTTAAGAAAATTTCCATGATTCATTGATGTTTTAATCTCATCATGACCTCTAAATGTGCATCCTTGAAATACAAGCCACCAAGTTAGATCAATTGAAGCTTTCAATCAAAGCTTATTGTACGTAATTTGCTTGAGAAGTAAATTTCATAAAGTTTTTCTCAATACGCAAAGGTTGATTCATGAGATCCCGACATGCTTTCTCGGCATTTCTATGAGGAGAATGAGATCTTTTTCATAATACGATAAGAATGCATAATTTTTACTGTCCCTAACTTTTTTCCATGACTAAAATCCATTAACGAGTGAATGCATCCGATCTAAAAGATCCATTTGATGTGTGAAATAAATAGCATGATAGATAAAATACAGCATCTTTGGTTGGAGAATATTCTAACCATTATGGAAATAATTTAAACCATGATGCTTGAAAACTACAAGGATGCTTTTCTCTAAATTTGGATAACTTGAAAGCATATGTTGATATGGACCAACATTAATATAAGCTCTTTGAACTTTATCACATTTGTTAGTAGAATACTCCTATATTTATGATCGTAATCTCGGATCACTTTCTAATGAATTAATATCAAATCTTTCTTTGATTTCAACTCTCCAAGATTTTGTTGGAGGATTTTCAAAATTCAAAGGATTAGGATCAATAGAAGAATTTGACTCCTCATTAGAGTTTGAAATGAAAACATTCTTCTTTTTAAAGAATGCACCAATGGTATATGACTTTTTCATATACAATAAAAATAAATTATAAATATGAATATGCAAAAATTTCTAAAGTGTGATATGTAACAAATTACAAATTCACTTAAAATGCGAATAAGATATTCAAATTTTTAAATAAAATACATAAACGAGACCACCACCCAAATCTACTTGGAGCCACCCTCCAAGTCACCGGTATATGTACATAAAAATATTAATGATTATAGTAGCACCGACCAATCTACTAATAAGTTGAATATATTTCAAAATAGTTACGTTAGTAATATAGAACCTATAAAATATAAACAAGAAAAATCATTATTATTAACAAACAAACAATTGAGAATCCGAGTATATTAATCTAAATATGGTTGTAACTAAAATAATTTAAGATATTTTTTAATAACCATTAATGAAAGAAAAATGGTTATTTGTACATTGTAATCTTGCATTCCTAATATTACAACTCCTCTCTTTTTTTTGGTGTCTTTTAGTCTATAACTACAAGCACAATAACGACATAAAATATCAAGATCAATAGTATAATTTTAATTCAAGTAGATAGATTATTAGATTTTTATTGAGCCATAGATCCAATAGATACCTTAATCACATAAAATAAAATTAAAAAGACAACCGATCTAATATTTTATTATAAAATATTATTTAAAAAAGAAAATTGGGAGTTGCCAAGATTCAATTAATTTATAAAATAAAAAACTTAATAAATTAATAATATAAACAATATAATAAGAGTTAATAAATTATTGATTTTTGAAGAAAATACTCGCTTTCGTTATCGAATAAGAGAAATCTAAATCAAATAGAAGATTTTCTTTTTAGAGAAGGTTTTTTTTGGGTGTTTTGAATAAAGTGCGAGTTAAAAGAAAGCAAAGAAGGAACAAGTTTATTAATGATGGAAGACGGCTAGAATCAAATTAAACAAATATTAAGGGTTTAATAATAGGCTGGTTGGGGGATTGAGGGCAAAGGTTAAAAAATACTAAAAGAGGTTGGGTTTGTCCTATACTAGTATGGGGAAAAAAAATTATAGGGGGTTTGGGTCCTTATAGTCGTCAATGTGTGTCCGCCACTCGAATAGTTTTAGTTAGCATTATGTCGAATGTATTAAGTTGTGAAGATTGATGTCGATGGAGGCCCGTAATATAAGACGTTATGCGGAATCAACACAATGGTCTCGCTAATTATCCACATTATAAATAGATGCTAGATGTATAGGCACGTTACGTTTTTTTCTTATAACCTTAATTGTTCACACTATAAATAAAAGCAACATCACTTGTATTTACAATCGCCACTTAATAAAACCTAATAAAAAATCTTATTACATCCGTGAAGCAAGCACGTTTGTCGAACCACATAAAATTAATTTTTATGTTGTGTGATTATTTCTATCTTTTTACTTTATTCTTTTATTTCTTAACAAAATGCTATCCAAACCCATGCCCATTTAGAAAAAGGTTGGGATCAAAATATATTAAACATTCATTGAAAAAAGTTTGAAATTAATGATTATTTATCCAATGGAAATCCAAAAAAAAAACTCACAATTGCATTGGACCATTTTTTTTTATAATTCTCACGAGTAAGAATGTCTCCAGATTAGTTTTTGCACACATCCAAACTAATCACTTTTGAGCATGATTAAGAGATACTTCCCAATGCATGACTTCAGATATTTTGAAAATAAATTTTCAGAAATGCTGATCACAAAAATTGAATTTTGAATTTAGTTTATAAGTCAACACTTACTTATTAACAAACTATCATCTTGTGGTTTGTTGGATAATGTATTGAGAATAACATGATAACTTGTTTAAAAGTTTCATTGAAATAATTGAATTTATAAGTCTGGATGATTGAAAGTTGGTTAACTAATTGCTGTGAGAGAAAAATATATATATATATATTACTTGACATTCATTCCCTGCGCATAAATATTATGCACAAAAAAAAGAAAAAGAAAAAAATTTATACCATGAAAATGAAAAGAACAAAAGGGTGCATCAATAAATAGAAAAGGCAACCACATGTTTTGTGGGGTGCATTTAACATGTGGCACTGTTGATAGCAACTGATGGACTACAGCTTCTCCTATACTTATGCGTAAAAATTCCTACCGTATATATAATGAAAAAATGCGGGTTATCGTAGGCACGTTTCCAGAGAAAAGGTGTGAAAAGAAGGCCACCCAATTAGGCCAATTGGGACCATCAAACCAATCAATTCTTTTTTCTGTTCCACCTTCTTCCTCTCCTCGTAACTTGAAGAATTTTAGTTACTCCTTTTCTTTTTCTCTAACAATGACAACTACACATGCGATCTCCCAGGACCGTCCAATTCTGATACCCGCCGTGTCCTCTCCGGCAACTGTCTGAAACAAGAAAATTTTGGGTGGATTGTTTATATAATTTGTTACTGAGTTTTTAAAATTTATTTGGTGTAGTTTATGTGGCACTTTCCATCGGTTTTTTGAAATAATTGGATTATATATATATATAACTGATTATTATTATACGAATACTAAAAATTTTAATCAGTTAGTGTTTTTATTAGATTATGAAGTAGAAAATAAATTTGAGATACATTTTTTTCTCAACAGTAAAAATGTTTTTGGATCCTAATTTTTTTAATTTTAAGACTAATATCTGCCTAACTGTAACTAAGAAGAACTTTTCAATGTACGAATTCAAGTATCCCGAGAATAAATTCTAAAAAATATTGATTAAAAGAATCAAACCTTAAACCTAAGCTACGAAAAGTAATTTCATTTAAATGCAAAAATAACAATAACTTTATCATATCAACTTCTGTCGTTTTTAATATCATATCAATCTTCATTATGTCATCATCAAATACCAATATTGTTATACATAATACAACCATTTCATTATAATAATTAAATTATATAATATTTTAAATTAATAATATATTATTATATTTTTAAATTAAGTTTGTGTTAGAATTTTTTTTCTTAATATATTTTTGTTTTAAAAAAAAGTTTCTAGAGAACAATAAAAAATAAACATAAAATAGTTTCTGATTTTCTAAAAAAAAAATGGTACCAAACGGAATCTAAATTTTCTCTCTATGTTTTTTTTTTAATTCAAATTAGAAGGATATTGTGAAATAATTCAATATGAATATACAAGTCTAATAACTCATGAGTAGCTAAACTTCTATATTTTTATCATTAAAAAAATTTATAAGTTTTGTAATATATATTAAAAAATTATTTAAACAAATATATCTTCTTTTTTTTTTTTTTGTCTAAATGAAAGAAAGAAGATTAGTTTGAATTTTTAGATTTTAAATAATTTATGAAACCAAAGTAATTTTAGTACTCAAAAATTTTCTTGCACTAAAAGAAACTAATGAGAATACAATCATTAAACTAAACCTACTTATTAAGAAGATCCGACTAGCTTCAAGAGAGAAAAAAAGGTTGCTTATTCTTCTACTTAGCCGAAAATAATTAAAAGACAGCATAATGTAGCCTAAATGAGAGGATGGTCGGGTCCAAAATAGAACCACGTTGGTTACCAACTTGTTTCAGTACAGCCTGGAATTCTAACCTCTAACATGACGCCACGTGTAACGGGTTCTCTTCTTGTCCATGTCTGTTGACACCAGCTTCCAAAGACTTTTTATTTCATTTTCCGTTGACGGCACATTAAGGGCAGGGCAGAGCACCTTTACACAATCACTAACCCCACAAAGGCAGCGCCAGCTTTTCATTCGTGGCCATGAAAACTATGGAGATTCTCAACGCAAACAAATAAAGAGACAGACAGTACCAGAGAAAAAGAGAGAGTATATAGAGGGAATCACACAAGAAGTTGGTCTCCATTGTTTTATACTTTCCTGCATATATATTGAAGTTAATATAGTAGTTAGCTAGCTAGCTAACAATGGAGCGTTATGAGATTTTGAAAGATATTGGGTCAGGTAACTTTGGTGTTGCTAAGCTAGTTAGGGAGATAAAGACTGGTGAACTCTATGCTGTTAAGTATATTGAAAGATGCCAAAAGGTGAATTTTTTTTTCTTTTTTTTGAACTTCATGTTTTTTTTTCCCTCTCAATTTATTCATCTTTGAATTTTTCATGTTCATTAAGCAATGTTTCTTTTTCTGAGATGGGGAGGATGGCGGAATTTCCTCTCATAAAGATGTTAAGGATGTGTTGAAGATAAGATTTTGTATAGTTGATGTTATGCTTGTATGTATATTTTATTCTTTATGGTCTTATCTGGGTTCTGCTAGTTTATTTTCTTCATATATTAATCTAGATGGAGACTTTCTTTTCTTAATGTTTTTCAACTTGGAGTTTTTTAATGTATGATTTTGAAGTCTTATTTGGTTTTGCAGATTGATGCGCATGTTCAGAGAGAGATTATGAACCACAGGTCATTGAAGCATCCCAACATAATTAGATTCAAAGAGGTATGCAAAGTGTCATGTATTTTCTTCTTATAAGCTCTTGAAATGTAAAAGAATTTTCTGTGACTAAGTCCTATAACTCCTGTAAAGATGGATTTAAAAGGCTTCAATACTTAGCTCAATCTTGAGGAACTTTCAAAGAGTCTGAATAATATGGAGGTTTAGTTTTCATTGCTGTAATCCAATTTGATTAATTCAAAATGGAGGCGTTGGTATATAAGAATGCAACTGGACCTGTACTTTCCAAGCGGAGCTTGCTTAATCTACGCTCTGTCAATAGGAGTCTCATTCTTGATGTCAAGAATTATAAGAATTTGAAAATTTTGAATCTTGAAAAGGATTTTGAAGTCCTAACTCCAATTTATTCTTAGATATCAAATTTGAAAACAAGAGGCTTGCCTTTGCTTTTTGATGAGTCTTTTCCATTTTGCAAGTTTTAAGAAAGGTGAATTTATTGTGTGCAGGTTCTGCTAACACCAACTCATTTAGCCATAGTCATGGAATATGCAGCTGGTGGAGAACTTTTTGAGAGAATATGCAATGCTGGCAGATTCAGTGAAGATGAGGTAATTATATAGTATAGAGCAGAACATTGTCAACTTTCAATTAATTGTTTGTTTGGAGTTTAATCTTTTCATTTTCGGTTCTGTTAAATATTATCAGGCAAGATATTTCTTTCGACAGCTCATATCAGGAGTCAGCTACTGCCATTCCATGGTAATAATCTCAGCCTATCTCCACTCTCAATTAGTATAGGTAAAGTCCACGTTGTTTGACTCTGGCTAATTACCCTCCTCCTATTGTAGCAAATCTGCCACAGAGATCTTAAGATGGAAAACACCCTCTTAGATGGAAGCTCAGCGCCACGTCTTAAGATATGCGATTTCGGCTATTCGAAGGTAATGAACTAACTAATTTACCTTACATAGAGTACATTTAATTGTAAATCCAAATGATCAATGTCTTATACATTTTATGCAGTCTTCTGTGTTGCATTCTCAACCCAAATCTACAGTGGGAACACCAGCCTATATTGCACCAGAAGTCTTATCGAGAAAGGCGTATGATGGGAAGGTATTTAAGACTATTAATTTCAATCTTGTTATTGTTTATCTCTTCCGGGACCAATTTGGTAGCTTTGCTATTTGACTCTTCAAATTATAGACAGCAGATGTTTGGTCTTGTGGGGTTACCTTGTATGTGATGCTGGTTGGGGCTTATCCTTTTGAAGATCCTGAAGATCCAAGAAACTTCAGAAAAACAATTCAGGTTACATAACGAACAACATTATTATTAAATGACCCCATCACTATCATGAATTGACTTGTTATTAAAAATACACAAATTTAACAATGGCAGAGGATTCTTAGTGTCCACTACTCGATTCCAGACTACGTTCGAGTTTCCAAGGAGTGCAAACATCTTCTATCTCGGATTTTTGTGGCTGATCCTGAAAAGGTAATAGGAAAACTGTCATTTGTTGTAATTTCGTTGCTACTATTCTATTATGTGGTACTTACTGTTTTTTTTTCCCCTTTCGGCTTAAATTTTGTAGAGAATTACCATCCCAGAAATTAAAAAGCACTCTTGGTTTCTGAAGAGCTTTCCTGTAGAATTAATGGAAGAAGAGGATGGTAGCTTACAAAGTGATGATAAAAATGAAGAATCACAAAGTATTGAAGAGATATTAGCTATAATCCAAGAGGCTAGGAAACCTGCAGAGGGGCACAAAATAGGTGGACATTTTTTCGGTGGGAGCATGGATCTTGACGATATGGATGCTGATACTGACATAGATGATATAGAGACAAGTGATGATTTTGTTTGTGCATTGTAAAGTGCCAGCTTTAAAATCATGCAAAGCTTTGCTTTACTATCCCAACCTTAGCGAAAAGCCAGCTGAGGATAAGGGCATCCTTTTCTTTTGTAAGGGAATCAAAGGATCTGTACAATAGGGCGATGTTGATTTCGGTCTGTGGCATGTATGTTCGATTGCTTCTTGCTCATGGTTTTGAACTTTGTAAAAAAGTTTCTCTTGAATTCTGTGTCTTGTTTATATTAAAATTGGATTAACCCAAGCTCCTTCCTTTAGCTGAGATGGGACTCTGTGGGATGTCATAAATAATAATCAATCTAGTTAATGCTAACTGCTAAGGACTCTATGAACCAACACTTATTGGATTTGCACATTGGTAGATGAATAAAGTTAGTACAAGATATGCGTAAAGAGTGTTTAGGAATGGACCATAAAGAAAATAGAGTAGAAAGACAAATATAATCACATAATATAAAGATTTAAATGGTTCAACGTTTTATTAGAGTTTTATCATATGACAACTATAAATACAAAAGATGTTATCTCTATTTAAGCAAGATCGCTATTTGCGTAGAGTTCTAAATTGTAGACTACATCTATCTAAATCTTTACGTACTTGCTTAACGAGTTGGATAATCCAAGTGAGAGATCGTTGATTGTTGAACATTCTTAAGTATGATTTTTATTTTCTTTTTGTTAAGATTAGAAGTGTGGCAACGCTCTTCGGCTGGCCTATTGATGCTATGTATGTTGTTGTTATTTGGTTGTTTTGTTTTATGGTGTCGTCCAGCGAGTTAAAGCAAATAACTTACTCTTAACGACTTTTATGATAAACTACTTTGATTTTAGTTAAAATTAACGTTGTTTTACTTCTACTGAAAAACAAAACAGTTTCATTTTAAAGTGTAACATAATTTATTTTAAAAGTAAAACAAAACTTAACCAAACATTACCTTTTAACTATAAGCAAGTAAAAATAATTGTTTTCAAAAATATAACAATATCAAATAGTTTTAACTTGAACAAAACACCTTATGCTATTTGGTCCTCCTTTCCAAATTATAGTTCAATTTGGTCCTTCTTCTTATTGTCTCTTCAATTTGTTTCCCCACCCTGTCATCATTTGTTGGCTTCAGTTAGGGATGGCAATGGGACAAGATAGCCATCCTCGTCCTCGCCCCGTGTCCCATTTGGGGTGTAATTTCTCTACCATCTTCGCTTCAAACGGGACGGATCAGATTGTCATCCCTAGTTTCAGTAGGGAGTTGTAACAAAGCAAACAATGTCAAACTCACTGTGAATTTTGACATCCAAGTGACTGGCTGATAGCATCTTGCACGATGTTGACAAATAACCTATATAATACCACACGCCACAATTCTTTGACATGTATCATATAGATGCATTTGTAAATGAATTGTAGCAATAATTATATAGCCATGGTTCCATCATGCCTATTATTTTTTCCTCTAAAAAATAGCATATCTATGGGCACATTTCCTTAATCTTTTAAACTAATTCCAGAACCAAAAGGCCTTCTTTTGAGCAGAACCAAGGGGGTTGTTTATGTATGTATTAATTTCTGATTGACGAAGACATGAAATGGAAGGAGGATTAGGACCCTCGTATCGTATTGGTTATGAAATCTGATAAGGTTGGTGTGGATTGACATTTCTTCTTCCTTTTTCACCCCATAAATTAGTGCAAGTCAACCTCAATTAAAGAAAAAATATCCTATTTGAAATGCATAGCTACATAAGCTTCTTACAATACTACTGATCTTTCATTAGTTTACTTTCTTTTCTGGATTTGTTTACTTTTATTGGTTATTTTGGAAGATGCATGATGTGTCCACTATCCACTCTTCCACTTCGGATTGGTTCTGCTCGTCCGCTTTTCAATTCTCATGTGTGTCAATACTCAATAGATGCTAACTGTTCTTTTCTTTAATCTTAACATGATGATTTAAAATAAGTTATCTTTGACGATCTGATATTTTTCTTTGGATCTGCTCAGTTCAGCTCTTCCATGAATTATATAATTAACAACCATAAACACCCTTATTCTTCCAAGACAATGTCATTGTCGCCGACGTTAAGCTTTTGCTTTCAAAGGTTATCGCAGACAACTGTGAATTACACGTTTCGTACTCCACGGAAGCACTAAGAAATAATAATAATAATAATCGATCTGTGAAGATTCAACTTGAAGAATTTATAAATATACCTCAAACATGAATACACAATATTGACCAAGAAGCCAATAATGCAATTTTCTTTTCTAATTAATTCTATGGCGCAAACTTTTTTGTCTTGAACCACTTGGGAACAACAGATGGAAGCGGAATGCTTTAGAATTTTTTCCTCAAATTTACTTTTTGAAAATTTTCAATCACTGAATTTATGTAATTTTAATATTAATATTCACATTTACTTATTTAATCTATGACAAGACGGACTCGAGCGAAAAAAAAAAATTAATCATTTAAATAAGTGGTTTTATATTCGAGTCTTTATATACGTAGAAAACTCATTAGGTAATTATGTCTATCTCGTATGTTTAACGGAATAATGAGAAATTAGTCTACGTTTTTTTAATACTTTGGAGATCTAAATATATATATATATATATATATATATATATATGAAAATGAATTGTAAAAGAATATTTGATAAAATTAACGTTTTTTTTAGTAAATAAAGTTCAAACCACAAGATTTAAGGCCAACATTTTACATGGTTTCCCAATAATGTAATTTTCTTATCTAATTGGTACTGAACTTTCTCCCCTTTGCCCAAACAATTGATGGAAAATGCAGTTTTGGAAAAGTCAAGTTAGGAAATAATACTAATTTTATTAGAAAATTTTCACGAAATCATTTTAATATTACGCAAAATTAATATCACCAGGCAAAATTTTCAAACCATAAGATTTGTCATAACCAAGATTTCACGTCGGGTAGCGACAAGATTTAAGGGCGGAAAATGAAAATAATCACTTTCTTCCAAAATTGGGTCACATAGTTTCCACAATATAAATTTCGGCCCAAACTACCCAGCCCAAAAACCCAACAAAGAGTCAGGTATCCTATTTGATTGGTGTAATAACATTTCGAGCCCAAGAGCCCAAAAGTGAGCAATACTACCCCCGCTCTCCATATAAAATAAAATCAAAAACCCTAATTTTGCAACGGAGAAAGAAACCCTAATAGAGCAGGAATAGACACACTCTCTCTCCTTAACGCAACTTTGGTTCTGTGTAGTGGGAGACTCCATTCAAAATGAAGGTTCAATTTTCAATCTCTTTTACTTTCTTTCTTCTTAAGAAAAACCCTAAATTTTTTATTTTTATTTTTTTTGCTCCCTAACTTGCTTTTTCGGTGGGCAGTTTAACATTGCAAATCCAACCACTGGGTGCCAGAAGAAGCTTGAAATCGATGATGACCAGAAACTGTATGGATCTTTCTCTTTTTAATTTGTTATTGGTTTTGCTGTCTTGTTTAGTGGGTTTGTTTTGGTATCTTAAATTTGAATTGATTTGAGAGCTGGAGTGAATACATTTGAGCATGGTTGATATGGGATTAGTATGGGTCTGGGAATTTTTTAAAATTTTTTATCTTCAATGAGCATTTGTGTTTAACTTAATTGTGCTTGTATTTTAGGTAATCAAATATTATGCAACTAAAAAAGTGTGTTGATTTTCTTGTAGGGTATTATAGGTCCTTAACATTTGAAATTTTGGGCCTTTTATGATTCTCTATTTGGGATTGAATTTGTTTTTTGCGTAGATTATTTTTTAGGGAAAAGTATGGCTTAGTTGGTATAATGCATAATGAAATACGGGTTTAGATAGTGTAATCCGAAATGCATCTTTTATGCCTGCATGTCCTTTTTTTTTATCTTGGGGATGAATTTGTCCTGGAATTGCATTTTTAAGTCTACTTTTCATCCAATTGCACAAAAAAGAACAAAAACAATTTTTGGCTGTTCTGACCACTATGGTGGTTTTGTTTTTACATTTTAATCATTCTCCCCTAGCAATTATCAATTCAATTTCTTCAGCTTACTGAATTTATGTCCTTTTTGGTTTTAAATCTTTTATTCTTTTTTATGGCAGCCGAGCATTCTTTGACAAGAGGATCTCGCAAGAAGTCAGTGGAGATGCACTGGGCGAGGTATGTTTTTGCAAGGAGTTGATTTGCTGAGCTAGTCTTGCAATGTTATGTTGTAATTTTTATTTTCTTATATGGAACCATCTGCTTGTATTACACAGGAATTCAAGGGTTATGTATTTAAGATTATGGGAGGCTGTGACAAGCAGGGTTTCCCAATGAAGCAAGGAGTTCTAACTCCAGGCCGTGTCCGTCTTTTGCTGCACAGAGGTTTGAGGCTTTTTGCCTCTGCTTGTGTTTGTGAGCATTTGGAATCTGGTGCTGTGTGATTTAGCTAATTTGCATCCTATGATCATTAACAGGTACACCTTGCTTCCGTGGATACGGCAGGAGAAATGGAGAGCGCAGAAGGAAGTCTGTTCGTGGATGCATTGTTAGTCAAGATCTCTCAGTTTTGAACTTGGTCATTGTGAAGAAGGGTGAGAATGATCTTCCTGGCCTGACAGATGTTGAGAAGCCAAGGATGAGAGGTCCAAAGAGGGCGTCAAAGATCAGGAAACTGTTTAACCTCTCTAAGGAGGACGATGTCCGGAAGTATGTTAACACATACCGCCGAACATTTGTAACGAAATCTGGTCAGTTGCTGTATCATTCTTCCTTTTGTTATTTGTTATTATTATTATTTGAATTCAAGGTCTCCAGAGAATTAATTGCTAAATTATAATCTGGTAAAGTTGAGCATTATTTTTAACAAAAATAATAAGGTGCCATTTTCTGGTTTGGCAGGTAAGAAGGTTAGCAAGGCTCCCAAAATTCAAAGGTTGGTTACTCCCCTGACTTTGCAAAGGAAGCGTGCAAGAATATCTGACAAGAAGAAGAGAATCGCAAAGGCTAAGGCTGAGGCAGCTGAGTATCAGAAGCTTCTTGCCACCAGGTTAAAGGAGCAGCGTGAGCGCCGCAGTGAGAGCTTGGCAAAGAAGAGATCTAGACTTTCTGCTGCCTCAAAGCCCTCAGTTGTGGCTTAAGTGTTGTGTAATTTGGTTGGTGATTAATATCAGTGCTAAATTTCTTCAATAGCGTGAGGTAATTTTGATTGTTCTTTGGATTGCTGGGGTTAGTTTGAATTTTTTTTTTTTTCAACATTTTTAAGCATCTGAGATTTTTGTTTTGCTTTCATTATGTTGTGGAATTTATAACTGGAGAATAGATGAAGTGCTGTTGGGGTTTCTCTTTACATCATATTCTTCTGTTTCTCCTTAGAATGAAGCAAACCATTTTGTTGTGTTCAAAATTTAATTTTGGTCAATAGATGTTTAGTCATCTTCTGATTTATGAGCTGTGGTACTGATTTTCTGGGGTTTTTTCAACTCGTTAATTCTCCTTGTGCATGATGGTTGTCTTTTAACATCTTAATGTGCTCTGCTTTATGGGTTTCTTTGTTTCGCCATTTGGTTGAGTTAAAACTTTTGAAAGAACATATCATATACATCTTGTAGTAGGTTGTTTGGGGTTTTTTTTTTTTTTTCATTAATGATTTGGAGCAGGTGGTTGCTTTTAATTCTCGGTTTATAGCTAATTCTGGTTGAAAATGCATTTTCCCATGTAATTATACTAAATAGAGATCACTTGGAGAGGGGTCGAGGGCTTGTTGATTAGAATCTCGTTGATGTGATTATACTTACAGTTCTGTCAGTATGGGTTATACAATTAATTGTAGAAGACAAGATGAGATGAGAAACAGAGGAAAGGCCGAAAGACAGAGAATCAGATTTTGGTTATTATTTTTCACACTTTTTACATGGTTTCTATACTGAATATGTAAATCTCACTTCACAAACCTATTCGGCCCAAACGATAATAACAATTCGGTTAAATGGCTACATATTGGGCATAATACAGAAGCTAAAAGATGCAACTAGAGGAAGTTCAACAAGGGAAGTAACGCACTGGTACTATGTGTTTAGATACATCAGTTGGAACTCTTACTGGCCTGTACTTCCGTACTCTGCACTGGCAGTTCACACCCTTGGACGTAGCGTTGTTTTGGCCACCAATGAGTGTTCTGCTTAAATAAGATTCTTCTAAATCTTATTTGCCAAAACAGAGTTGTTTTAATCTTATTTGTCAAAATAGGGTACATTTTGCAACCTAGATCCAATAACCTACACATGTAAATTTTTATTTTTTACCGTTAAATTCATTAATAATTTTAAAATTATTTTACAAAACTCAGTTCATAAATAAAACTGATCAAGAAACAAATAACATCCGTGATATACTATTTTCATCAATTATGATTACTCGAGAAAATCAAACACCAGAACGCCTAAATCCACTAGCTCGTCAGCAAGATTAGAAATAGAAACAATTGCTCTAGTAAAGTTAAAATAAATTTGTTGAATGATCAACTAGCAATTCTATCCCCTTGTTTCACTTCAAAAAACCAGTATCAGAATGATTAAACAACACCACTCCAACTGGTCCTCTATAGTCAGCTTCAATAACCCCAGCGCCAACATCTATCCCATGCTTCAATGCCACCCCAGATCCCAGTGCTTCAGAAAATAAAACAAAAACAAAAATCCACTTCGAATTTGTGGAAAAAGAAGAAGAAGAAAGAAGTCACCTTCTAATTCATGATCATAAGACAAACATTAATATCAGAAGAGGATAGTAATTATAACTAAGTTTGTTACCTAAAAAGATCATAACCTACATATAAAGGTGAACTTCTAAAATGCAAAACAACCTTCTGATAGCTTATTGACCCTGAATAAAGAATCATAACTTCGATGAGCAACGCTTTCATTTTGGGTTTCGTCAAGTTCAAGGATTTTGGGTGGGGGTTTGTTGACTTCAACTTCATTTCTTTAGTGATTTTGTTGATGAGTTATTTTAATTTTTAGAGAGAGAGATTGCTAATACAGTTTCTGATTCTTGAAAGTTTATTTATTTTGGTTTTATACAGTAATTGTTTTTTAATCTTGGCGATGAACTAATGGGTTTGGGTGCATTAGTGTTTAATTTTCTCTAGGGATCATAACTGATGAAATTGATGTATTGCTAATGGTGTTTGTTTATTGATTTTAAATTATTTTTTTATTTTTTATGAACTGGAGCTTTGCAAAATTCGTAAGACAATTTTAAAATTATTAATGATTTTAGAATTAAAAAAAAAACCGACATGTTAGGCTAATGGATTTACGTAGTAAAAATTATCATATTTTGGCAAATAAGATTTAAAAGTATTTCATTTGTGCAAAATAGTTGGCAACCCATTGGCCGTGGGAATAGATAAGACTTAAATGTAATTATGAATCATATGGGGACTAAAATTTATAAACTAAAAATCAAACTTTACATCAACTTTTGTAATCTTATGATGTGCATTTATGCCTCGTATTGTCCACTAACATAGAGATGACTTAATAGCAAATTTTACTTTTATTTTATTACGATTTAGTAATTTTAGGTTCATAGCACCAAATATATAATTTAAATCCTAAAGTATTAAAGATTGAACAAATATAATTTAAATTGCTCAATTTACGTTACGTGTAATCGTCAATCTAGTTGATTATTACTTTAAATGTCAAAACGACATCGTTTTGACATTTAGTCGACAATTATGTTTTTTTAAACAAATATTTTAAAAATATTTTTAACTCCCTAATCTTGAATTTTTTTTCTTAAAATTTTTTTTCTTATAAAATATTATATTTCATAATATTTTATAAATTATATTAAAAAAATATCTTATAAATATTTTTACCCCCAATTTTGAATCTTTTTAAAATGTTTATAATATTTTATAAGAAAAAAAGTTTTAAAAAAAGTTCAAGACAAGTGGGTTAAAATCTTTTTAAAATGTTTTTTTTTTAAACTTAAGTGACAATGAAATGCCAAAACGACGTCATTTTAGTATTTCAAGTAACAGATCAACCCAACTCAACGTTACGTATAACGATCATTAGGCAATTTGGATCATATTTGTTCAATCTCTAATACTTAGAAGTTTAAATTACAAAATTTGATAATATTGATCCAAAATTGTCAAATCGCAATAAAATGAGGACAAAATTTGTTATTAAACCATGGAGATGCCTTTGTTTTTCTTAATCTTAGGAAGTAATTTGAAGCTTTTTTTTTTTTTTGGCTATTTTAGGGAGTAATTTGAGGGCACGAGTTTTATCTAAAATAATACAAAGGCTTATAAATTTAACGATTAAACTATTTTGTCTTGGCATTGGTATTATAGAATTACAACACTAATTGATCATATGATGGTCACTTTTTTTTTCCTAACACAGTGTCTATGCTTCGTATTCATGAACCGAAAAATCAAGACTATTAAAAATTGGCTAAAAGAATCTCACTAGTTTTTGAATTTCAATTAATTTGAGATTGAGTTTTTAAATTTTTTATTGGTTTTAAAGACCTTTAAATTTTTAACTATCCGATGAGATTTAGTCTATTTAATAATTGTAACTATCATCTTCTCTTCTAAAAAAAATTAATTTTTGGTATTTTGATAAGTTAAAATTTTGCACACATATTGAAAAAAATTTTATTCATTTTGTAAAATAAAAAATTCATAAATTTTCAAAATCGAAAAGTTATTTGTTTATTTTTTTAAACATTAAAAATATAGAAAATCAAAAGAAAATAAAAAATAATTTCGAAATGATCTCAATTTTTTTAGGAGCCTCGTATAAATATCACTGAATGATTTTTATCGTAAAAATATTTATTTGATTGTTGCTTTTTAAAATAAATGATTAAAAAAAAACTAAAGAATAAGCTAAACTTGCAAAAATTAAAAGTTCAGAAATCTTTAAAATTAATAAATAAAAATAAATAATTTAACGTTAAATTATTTAAAGTTAAGGAGTAATTAGAAATTTTAAGCTTTAAAAATTAGTATCCCAAAATCTTCTTAAGCCAATGAGCAAAAACCTTAACCTACGATGATATTTAGGAGGCTCTAGACCTAATTTTGTAATCCCTCCATTTTTTGCCTAACAAGGCAAAAATGCACTAGTTGCCAAAATATTTCTTGTCAATACGGTTCTCATAAAGTGGAGTGTGGTCGGACCTGATTTTGGTCTTCGTGCAGTCTCCCTTAGAAGCTTCAAAAGCAAGTCTTGCACCACCGCCCTGTTCGGTAAAACTTGGATCAGATTGTCCTGTCGGTGGGGAGGAAGGATAAGGGTGGCTACAGATCATATGTGAGATTCTTCTATCAATTAAAGTTACTCTACTTAATTAAATAATCGCTATAGTTTTAATAACTAATTAATTATTCTTTATATTTTTAAATTTATCTATAACTTAATTATTATTATTATTAATTATTAATTTATTTGTTTTTATAAATAAAAAATGGAAAAAATAAGTAAAAAAATTGAAGAGATTAATGTGAAAATATAACATTTTTTTTAACAAAATAATATTAAATTATGTAACGATCAACCCTAGTCTAGAAATTACTTAATTAATTTTTAAACAAAAAAAATATTTAATTTATTTTACAAAATTAGAAATACTAATTTATAATTTACTCATTAATCAATGGATGGTAAGTCAAAACCTTTTTTCAATCAAAACCAAGTTAATTTGCTAGTTTAGTGGCTTTATTACTTCGAACTCCAAAATCACAAATAAAAGCAAATTTAGCTGCTATTAAATTTTTTTGACATAATATTAAACCTCTGCTTCAACTAAAGCATGATGGATGTACCAGAGCTCTTGTGGCTGGGTTTCATTCAACTGTAATAGTGCCAGGTGAAAAGTGCAACTTTATTATAACTATTTACATAATGGATGGATGTTGATACTTTGAACATTGACGCAATATCAATGACTTAATGATTATTGAATTTGAATCTGATGAGTCTTGCTTTACATTTCATTTAAATTTAGATGTTTTGATGACCATCAACATTGTACAGGTGTAAGATGATGATGTCGGAATCTTCAAATTAAGATTAATAGTTGGATGACTTTCACTTCAAACTGATTGTATGAATGATATAATTTATTATATGTTGAATATTTAATAAATACCTATAAAATAAGTCCTCTTTTGGTATTTAAATGATTCTCCAATGCCTAAATTAGTTTACAGAGAGAGGTGTATTGCCTAAATAGGTTTTAAGAAAATTAGCTTTTATGTATAAAAAATATGTGATATATATATGTTTTGAGCTTAGAAGGTATATCCTATAACGTTTAGTGTGTTAACTTTTATATAGGTGGAGTGTGATCAACTTGTATAGAATGGTGGGTAAATTGGTCTCTCCCATTATGTTTAACAAATCATGACATCTACTTTGAAGGTTTTATTAGTTTTTCATGTAAGCCTTTCATCATTTAGATAGTTGGAGGACTCTTGTAGTTATGGTTGATGGAACTAGTGCTATTTAAAAAGCATTGTTTTATTTAATGAGTGTACTTCATGTCTCTTGATCGATGGTGACTAAGGAGAACGTTCAAAACTCGTCTTGAGCATATGTGTCCAAGCCTTTATAGGGCTATTAATAGGATTCTAGGTTTTAGGTTGAGTATAGCTATGGAGACTTGACTTCTTTTCCTAAGTATTGTTTCCAAAGAGGTTTGTTATTTTTTTCATTTATATTAGTTGCCTCTTAAAGTCTTTGGCGATTTTGACTAGTGAAGACTTGAGTTTTACCCATGATCTAATTATACTCCTCTAGCAAAATATTTCCTTAAGGGTCATTGACCTTTTCTTCGTAAAGGCTCGGAGAGAATTGTGTTCTTCCTTTGAGATGGTTAAAAGTTATTTTTAACAATCAAAGGGCCTACATTAAGAAAGATTAAAGAGTACAAGGAGGGCTTGAATAAAAAAAAAAGTAAACGAGTCACATTAAGAAAATATCAAGAGTAGAGGGACGTTTGATGCAATTAAATCCCTTGATAAGTGCCCATTCAATAGATCTTACCGCAATCTTCTCATTCTTATTAATGCTCGGGTTTCTCGAGGTTTTCAATCTACACCTCTAGTGGGAGGTCTATTGGATTAGCACCGGTTAATTTAAAGAGTAGTTATGCTCTTATGTTTTCTTCTCTATTTATTTGAGAGATGATAATCACATTTTCTTCTTTGTTAGTGTCCTCTAGATATTTAGTTATTAAATGGCAATATTTGGATATAGTGGGTTATTTTGGCTTAAATCTTTACATATTGTCCTTCTATGAGTTGAAAATCACTATGGACTTAGAATGGGTATACTTTTAAGGCCTTTGCTAAGTTGAGGACAACCATCATAGCCTCATGCTCAATTATATTGTTGGAGGACGAAAATTCAAAATGAAGATGGTACTTAGATTTTTTTTTTTTTTTTTGGCCTGGATTAATAAATATTATATCAACCCTACTTTTATGGATAATGGAGACTCCATCGATAAATAAATTCCACCCTTTAAAGGGTGGAGTTTCTATTTGAGTTTATTATTTCATTTATTTTGATTTTCTCATAATAAGTTCATTGAAAGAACACTTGGTGATGAAGTCTACTAGAACTTGGCCCTTGATCACTAGTCGAGGTCAATATTGAATTCCAAATACTCCGAGTTTGATGGTCTATTGAACCAAACATCTTGATATATAAGGCTTATATGTTGTCTTTCAAAGAGGTTGGTTGGTTAAAACCATGATTGGGTGAACTTGAAAATAAGGCCTTAACTTTTTAGAGGCATTGATGAGTGCAAGTATCGACTTCTCTACTTCTAAGTACATAGCCTTTGCATCTTAGAGGGTCTTGATAGTATAACGGATCGATCAATGTATCCTTTCTTCTTCTCTTATAAGTGGCGCTATTAAGTGCCTTATACGCGACCCTTAAGTATAAAAGCAATGCTTCACTATCTCCGAGTTGTGACAAACTTATGAGAAAGAGATAAATATATACTTTCATTTTTTTCAAGACTCTTTTATACTCAAATGTCTATTGGAAGTTGTTGATGCCTTTTAGAGTCGTAAAAAGAGTAAGCATCATTCTCTCATCTTGGAGATGAAGCGATCGAAGGCGAATAGTCATCCGGTTATTCTTTACACATCCTTTATTGATGTAGGTAAGGTTGTATACCTAAAATGGTCTTTATTTTTTCTAAATTGGATTCTATGCCCTTGCAGCTAACGACAAAACCTATAAATTTTTCCCCTCTAATGGTGAAAGCATATTTGATGAGATTAAGCTTCATCTTGTGCTTATAAAGGATTAAAAATACTTCTTCAAGATCTTGGAGGTGGTTTTGAAAACTTATACTTTTGACTAACATGTCATCTACTCGGGCTTCCATGTTATTACCTAGTTGCCTTTTTTTCCACCATCCTTTGATAGGTGTCACTCATATTACACATATTAAAAGGCATGAACTTATGGTAATGAGTCCCTTTGTCCATAATAAATGATGTCTTTTTCATCATATAGGTGCATTGGGATCCGATGGTACTCGAAATTGACATTTAAGGAGCTTAAAAATTTAAAATCGATGGTGGATTCGACCAATCTATCTATCTTGGAAAGGGAAAAGCTATCCTTAGGGCAAGCTTTGCTAATATTAATGAAATCTATGCATATTTTTCACTTTTTATTTGGTGTTTTAACCATCACAATATTTGCTAGTCGGTCCAAATATATTATGCCAACAAACGGCTCATCAAATTAAAACATATCATCAAAGCATATTGCTTAACTTCAAGGGCTAATTGATGGGTTAAATTTAGGCATTGTATTTTATGAAGCATTCATGTTAGCTAAGGTTTTGGTATTAATTTCAAGTAGAACATGAAAGATTGAGTTATGTGGTGATGTTTTGTTATAAAATGTGCATTTGGGGCGAAGGAGCTAATCTCTAGGAATACTATTTGATTGTGCTTGAAAAATATGTTAGGAAGACTTTATAGTTCTAATTTTCATTTGTGATTTACATGTGTAGAATAGACCTATTTTTAGGTTTTTTTTTTTTTTTGTGATTTACAAAGACTCAAATTGCTACATTTGAGAATCATAACTTTCGTATTTATCCTTTTTCTTATTTCTATAACTTTACGATATTTTTGTATTTTTTGATTATTAAGTTCCTTTTTATTTTGTCCTTATATGTGCAGTACATACTGCTTAATTTCCTTTCATACCTTTGCCATTTATTATTGAATAATAAATTACATTATTTAAGGTTTTGGGTTTCCAACATACTTGTTTCTGATTAGTGAAACTAACATGTTGAGAACAAAACAAAATGAAAGCATGAATGGTATCGAGACGAATGTTGGCCTACATTGTAGTTTGGGTACTGATGTAAAAGCATATGTTTTTCTTCCTCTACTGGCCAACAGCACGTTGCACTGGACCACAATTTCTGCGTCTCCCTCTCTGCTTTTCTGTTGGCAAAAAATGTCAAACCAGAACTCACAATCTTGCTTCTACAGTTGGCTGCTGTTCCAATAATTGTCCCCTACTGTACTCTATTTCTGCCTCTGACTGCTATACTTACAAAAACTCTGACTGCGAACGTGTGTGCTGTTATCGCACAGAAATTATTACACATATGGTCCACAGCATTAACATTATCGTACAAACCATTAAAACTATTACAAATAATTAAATTTATTCAAATCATTTATTTATTTAGTATGCCATATTTAGTTTTTTTTTCACATTTAATATTACTTCCATAATTATAAAATAAAATAACGAGTAATATATATATATCATAAAATAATATAAATAAATTTAATAATGTATAAAATTTTTATTGACTTAATCAATAATCTTACGAACTAAATTTATATAATAATTTCTGGTTATGACATATTATTATCACTCCATCGAGACAAAAGCACTTAATGACATTTTTTTTATAAATAATTGAATTTTAATTTTGATAAAGATATTTTTTTTTCCAAATAGTCACTTATCACATTGGCATATAGAATTTAAAGTTGAAATGTATTTTTTTCCAATTTCCATATTGGTTTTTTTTTTAAATATATGCTTTTCCTTATCATTCGGATTTTGTCTAAAGTTTATACTGGAGGGTATCAAATGAAATCTCGTACCATATAGCGTTCATATAGGATTATAGAGATTGTTAACCAACTTCGTTTTAAAAAATGTTGTCGATAGAGAAATTATTAGATGATTAAGGTATATTGCTCTTTATTCATATAAAAATAAGATTCATCGATCATAATAATTATTTACGAGTCCCACTTTTATACGAGTGGATGAACAAATATATTTAAACCATCTAATAATATGCCTTCGTTGTTACAACCTAAACTAAACTATGTTAGTGAAATGAAGGATTCCTATAAACAATTGATTGCATGAAGGAAAAAAAAGTGTGCATATTAACAAGTTGCTCAAACTATAAACAAAAAAACATAGATGACAGGTAACACAGAGACACACAAACAAGAAAATGGAGGGTGCAGAGTCAACAGAATAGGATTCTAGGAGTAGTGTTTAATTTCCCTTTGATTTTCAAAGATTCTAACAAAGGGCATCCATCTACATTAAAGATAAAACTGATAGCAATCAACAGTCCCACTTATAAATTTGATCACTACTTCAAGTAACATTATCCCAGAAGACAATTTTTTCGCTATATAAACTATATTTAATTAATCTTATTATACTTGTATTCTAAGCCTAATCTTTTGCTTAAGATTCCAACAGTACATTAACAGGCCGGCTGTTGGCCATCCTACAATTGCTTCTAATCTCTCCAGGCCGCCCAGACTGCAAGTCGCCCATTTTTATCATGCCCTCGACAAAGGCATTGAAAAATGCCTGCTGGTCTATGCTAAAAAGGATCACATATTTCCTTGTTTCAGGAAACGTGTGAAGTGTTTGATCAGAATTAAGAAATCCTCTCCCAGCGACCAAGTCCTTGAAATATCTGTTATCAAACGTAGTTGGTGTTGCGTCAAGGTCTCCTGTCACGCTTTCGTCTCCGCCAAGGGGACAAAGCTTGTTTAGCTTCTCTCTATACTTCGGCTCAATTGCTGGGTCAGGTTTGCCAGAGCCTGACTGGTTATAGAGCCTGAAGACTATAGAGAAGCACCGACCTTGGCCGATAGAATGTGACCCTGAAAGGGCCACCATATCCTTGACCGAGAGATTGAATCTTTCAAAGAGGTCTATGAGAAGGCTTGCATTGGCTCTTGGACTTGGCATGATATTGTTGGAGTCCTCTTGGCTGGCCGTTAAGCTGTCTACTCTCCCTAACTTCACTTCCCAACGAGGCCCTCCACTCTGATTCAAGCCAATAGACAGAACAAAGAGTAAACTTTCAGATAAAAAAAAAAGGAGGCCAAAGCAAAGAGTTCTGTTTGACCAAGTCGTGTCTAATCTTCTGAGATTTTTCTCTTTATTAGTTAAGATTATCTTTAAGATAAACCTAGAATACCGGCATGTGAAAAAAATACCGACATGGGTCAAATCTTGAACCGATATTTCGGCGTGGAACAGTGAAAGAGACCCGCTATCTTCAAAGGGGAGATCTCGGATACAATTATTGTCAAACGGTGAACCATAAAAAACTACAATTGTTGCCCCTCTGTGATTCGTCACAAGTAGACTAGATTAAAGTGCACACACCCACACACACGATGCTTGTGACAGATGTTTAACATTAGCAAGATATTGGATATACATTAGCCTAATAATTATGCCGTTGTACTCTGCTAAGTGGAGAGGGTAGGCCTCACTTCAAATACAACCCTCACCACCAAAATGAATCAATAAAAAACAAGACCTTTTTGTAAAGACTATAATTATGCCGTCGTTCTCTTCAAATGTAAGGATAATAGAGGACAAAATTTGGACAAAAAGGACCCATTACGCAGAATATCCGGTGAGCCAGGCTCAGTGCGCAGTTGGCCAGCCAACCCAAGACCCAATGTCTTATGGCCAAGTTGATAGTACCACAGTGGCACACTATGGGTTATACTTTTGTTCTATTGAGAATTAAAGCTAAAAAGACCGAAGCTTTACATGACAGCAAGAAATTAATTACCAGGACAACAGCGTCTCTAGCGGCCATGATAACTATATCTGCACAAGAAACCGTCCCTGGACAAACCTTCTCTAACTCTTCCTTAACTTCGTCAATAACTTCATAGGACCTTAAAGAATCTATGTTGGACAGAGAAAGCTTCTCTCCTAGCATGTTTGGAGTGTCATCAAGCAGCAAAGAAGCATCACAACCCTGCAAGACCAAAAAGGAAAACCCATCAAAGAAAACTGAATTAAGATCTTTATAAAAAAAAAAAAAAATGCAAGATTGAAATGGAAGCATGTATAAAGTTTCGGGTTTGTATGATAAAGTTTACATTAACAAAACAGTCATGGAATTGAAAACGCATGACAGAGGCAACACTTCTTGGTTCTCTCATCATGTTCCTCCACATCACATCCTTGACAATGAATTCAGCTTCCGGGCACGTATCGGCGTAAAATCCAGGCCGGAGTGGCACGGTGGAGGCAGAGGTAAAGGCCAAGGATGTGAGCAAGAGAAAGGCTGCAAGAAGAGAAGACATTTTTTGTTTTGTTTTGTTTTTTTGTTTTTTTTTTCCCAATTTTCACGCACTATAGTATAGTTGATAGCTTGTGAGTGAGAGAGATGGGCTAATTTTGGTGCTTCGCATATGGACTCTTAATGTTGTAGGACATACATATTTATATATGTATCATGCATGGAATTTTATGTATGGCATGTTACAGCATGTCATGAGATGATTTATGATTTAAGAATGCTTCGGAAAATCCGTCTAAATGCGCAAGTAAGATAACATTTCCATCAAATTATTATTTAATAACTAGCTCCATTCAAATACAATGAATAAACAAAAATCACTTTACACGTGCGCGGATGCGTTTCATGTGAGAAAATTGACTGACATGATGATGGGCGTAAGGAAAAGTGGCTTAGATTCTTTTGCGTGTGGGTGTCAAGAGAGTACAGTTTTTGTTTCGACACTGGGAGGCAGGATAAGCCAATTGGCTATTGAATTTGGAATAAGAGGGATCTCTAACTGAAAGTGTCCACAGGTTTTTGTGGGGTTAAGAGGAAAGAAGGGTCACTATTGGCATGGTGTGTCAACAATTGCGACACCCACGATGCCCTTCCTCGTCTTACTTTGAATAATTTTACTTCGTGAGATTAATCTGTTCTTTTCATCTTCCTTAATATCAACAGGTTCAGCCACCCTTTTCTGGCAAATGAGTCAAATTTAGCGCATAAGCCATTGCCACTTCTCAAATAAACCAGCTGTAGTCGGCAGCATGCCAGCCCAAAAAGAAGAAGAATAATAATACGTGTTGAGTATAGCTAGCTAGACGATTTATTCAAACCACTACTTAAAATAGATTACCATTTTAATGACTTTCTGTTAGGAAAATTCTATAATTAATTTGAGTTTAAATCCAAATACAGTGATTTATTTAGTTTCCTTTTTTAAACAATAAAAATATAATCAAATTACCGAGATTAAATTTTTTTTCTAAACAAATTTAAAAACACTGCATTTAGAAGAATTTAATGAATTTTAATGAATATTCATCTCAAAATTTAAACCCAAAAAATTTAAAAATACAACTAAATCTATCCTTAAAGTTATTGAGTTGTCCAATTAACCATTAATGAACGGAATATGTTTGAACTCACTTTCTATGGAATTAAAGGGACGCAAGTATATATTGCTCATCAAGTTTCTGGATTAGCTCCTTCCTTCTTTTTTTTAATTTCATAACAGGTTCTCCAAAAATAGAATGTCCAACAACTAGAGATCATATCAAGATTCAAAGGTGACAACTATATATGTACGTAATGGAGTGGAATTTTATAGTGGAAGTTATTTGTCAATGTCGGATTCGATTGGTACAAGTAAAATCTTGATTAAATGAACCAAATATTACTGAGTATTATTGTGTCGATCACCTGCCTGTGGAGTCAACAAAGGAATTATGCCTACCATTTTCATGAAAAGTGTCTATTAGTTATTAAAAAAAAAGAAATATTTGAAATAAAAATGAAAAAAATCAGAATGAAAATTATGAAATCAAAATAGCATTTATATTTTCATATTGTATTCAAAATAGTAATAAGAAATCGAAATAAAATTTTAATATCTGATTTTTATGACAAATAAAAATAATAATTAAAAACGTAAGATAGTTAACTATAATGATAATAAAAACGATAGTGCTAATAATGAAGAAGAAAGAGGAGGAGGTGGTCGTGGTGATAATATTACTATAATATTATAGTAATAGTAATAATATATTTTTTTAGAAAATATTACCACAATCATAAAAGAGGTAAGAGTGGTGGTTGTAATAGTATAATAAAAGTGATGATGATACTAAAAATATCAATTATACAATAAATAATTGATTTCCTTTTTTTCAATTTTCATTATAAAGCTCTCTTGTTTTTTTTTAAAAAAAATCATGTCAACTAATATATTTTTTCTTTTAACTAAATAATTAACCGGTATCAATATATGACAGGTATGATTAATGGTCATATATTGAATTTGAGGAACCGAACGACATGAAATTTTTGTTCAAAATCATGTCGATGTGCTTAATCTCGTACATACTAAAGAGTTTAGAAAGTCGATCGATCTTATTGAATGATGAACTAACTCGTTAAATACAATAACGATCCTAAAAGGACTCCTTAACTATAGGAGCAATATTAACAAACTCGTAATAGCCCTTAATTATAGCAACAACCAAAGAATAAATCAAACAAAGGAACTAGTCGGATGAAGTGCGAACTACGTTAAAAGATAGCACGCTAATACCCCCTAAAGTTAGACGAGAGAAGGACGGACTAACTTGGAAAGATGACGATCAAATGCGAGCTTGGATAAAGCTTTGGTGAGTGAGTCCGCAAGTTGATCGAGCATCATGAATGTGTGCAACAAGTAACAAGCTTGTGATGAACTTGATCTCCGACATAATGAAAATTGACAACAATGTGTTTCATGCGACTATGAAAAACTCGGATTTTCACGGAGATATGTAACTCCTATGTTGTCACGATAGATGATAGGGGACTTTGGAAGGATAACGCCAAGCTCAAGAGAAGGTTTTTAACCCAAGTTGTTTCGGCTAGTGCACTTGCTACGGCCCGATATTTTACCTCGAGTGGATGATCGTGCAATTGTTGTTTGTTTCTTCGATGACCGAACTTATTGGATTTAAGCCAAGATATTACAAATAACCAGTAGTAGATATTTGATCATTTACATCACCTGCCCAATCCGCATCGAGTACATGACTAGATTCATGATTTTACTTTTCTCGAAACGAGACCATGAGTGATAGTGCCCTTAAGATACACGAGAACTCGTTTCACCGCTTTCCAATGTAGTTGAGATGGAGAATGCATAAATTGTGAGAGTTTGTTCACTAAATAGGAAATATCCGACTTGCTTGAAACTTAGATATTGAAGTTTGCCGACAACTTCGTCTATACTTTGTAGCATCCGCGAGTGGAGAACCATCGAGAACACGATACGGGTTTGAGGAGCTCATGGGTGTTTTTGCGGAGTTACAATTTGTCATATTTTTCGCTTAAAGAATATCAACAATATATCGAGTTTGAGAGAGATAAAGACAATCGAAGTGCCATAACACTTCAACACCAAGAAAGTAATATAGGTGACCAAGATCTTTAATAGAGAAACGAGTGGCAAAGGAAGAAATGACTCGTTGTACCATTGTGTTATCGTTGCCGGTGATAATGATGTCATCGACATAAACTAGAAGATAGACACGGAGAATAGAAGTTTTCATAATGAACAAAGAGCCGTCGGACTCGGATTTAAAGAATCCCATGGATAGAAGATGTGTTTTGAGTTCGTTGTACCAAGCACGAGGGGCTTATTTTAAACCATAAATGGCCTTTTTGAGTTAACAAATATGAGTAGGATGTGATGGATTTTCAAAACCTAGAGGTTGAGTCATGTAAACCTCTTCCTCCAAATGACCTTGAAGGAAAGCGTTGTTGATGTCAAGCTATCGAATTGGCTAATTGGACTCGGACAACAATAGAGAGAACCACTCTAATCGTTGTGGGCTTAACGACGGGACTGAATTTTGAGTGATAATCAATTCCTAAACGTTGTGTGAATCCTTTTGCTACAAGCCGAGCCTTGTATTGATCAATGGAGCCATCCGGTCTTCTTTTAATCTTGTACAACCACCGACAAGAGACAACATTTTTAGAGGGGTTAGGAGGAACAAGTACCCATGTTTGGTTTTTCACCAATGCATCAAACTTAGTTTGCATAGCTTGGTTCCACTGCGGTATTTTGTTTGCCTCGACGAATGTTTATGGAGTAATGTCGGATTGAACGTGAGCTATATAATCAAAAATAGATTTTGGTTTATAGATGTTATTTTGAGAACGAGTAACTATGCGGTGGATTTGTGTATTTTGAGAAACGAAGGAAGAGGTTCGGATCTATCAATGGTAGAGGTGTTGGAAGGAAGAGAGGTAGGAGCGAAGCAAGCGGTGAACGGCAAGACCGGTCGGTTGTTGAACAAGTGACCAGTGTCTGAATTTGAAGTAGACGTACGTACGGGAAAGAGATTAGGCAAATCTGAAATTGGGTTGGGTGAGGTAGGTGATGGGTGTTGGGCCGAAGGTGGGCTAAGTTGAGACAAGTCATCCCATGCTAACTGTTGAAAAGAATTAGAAATATTAGTAAAAATTGTTTTGAAAGGAAATTCATGTTCCACGAAAATCACATCACGAGACAAATAAATTTTAGATTTAATAGGATCAAAACATTGATGACGAGTGGTGAGGGAGAGAGAAGCCTAAGTAAACACGGGGTGTGGATCTTGGTTGAAGTTTGTTTTGAGTGTATGGTTTGAGCCAAGGATAGCATAGGCAACCAAATACCTTCAAAGATAGATAATCTGGTTTGGCGTGGAATAACATTTCATAGGGGAATGATCGTTTAAGGTGGATGTTGGTAGGCGATTAATGAGGTATACAGCATGGTGACGAGTAAATGTCCAAAGATTAGATGACAGAGAGGCTTGATAAAGTAATGTGCGTGCTTGTTTCGATTATGTAGCGGTGGCGTCTTTCAGCGAAAGCAACTCGTTATGGAGTATTTGGAGGAGTAATGAGGTGTTCGATGCCATTGGAAATGAGGTATGAACGGAGACTTTGAAACTCACCATCACCATCGGTGTAGAAGGACAATATTTTGGAATTAAAATGTTTTTCCATGAGAGGTTGAAAATTTTGAAAAATTGTTTTGACGTCACTTTTGTTATGAAGAGTGCAAAGCCAAGTATATTTTGTGTATTGATCAACAAATATGCGGTAGTATAATTTTTTATCAAGAGAAATGACAGGGGATGGTCCCCATAAATTGTTGAAAATGGTTTGAAGAGGTTTGGAACTAGACAAAGTAAGATGAGCAAATGGTTGTCGATGAGATTTATTGGATAAACAAGAATTACAAAATGTAAAATTATCCGGTACTGAAAGGGGAACAGGAAAATTGTG